TGTTCTTAGACTAGATATAATCTGACCAAGGAAATAGGTTCCCCTGAATCTAAAAGGTTAATTAAGATCCATTACAGCATCAACTTAAGATTATTTATTATAGGTAGTACTATTCGGATGCTGCGGAATGTTGATTGTAACGGACTACTCGATCTTGAAAGGGAAGTCTTGCTCTTGCCATTTGCCATTCTCGAAATACCTCTCATAGAACATTACTTCCTTATTGGGTTTCACAACCAATGCTGTTGTACTCATTGTTTTATAGCGGTCTTCGTCTCCCTGAATCCAGCAAAAGACAAAAAGAAAAGAGGTTAATAATGTATAACGAGGATCATAGAAAATGTAGCTCAATTATTGTTTAATTCTCTTACGAATATGTCGAAAGAAGAAGATGCTCCCGTTTTGTCAGCTTTCTTTGGATCATCCACAAACTTCTCAGCCATCTGCTTCATTTGTTGTACTTGTTCGATTCTATTATTACCAATCATCTCATTGAAAAGGTCTTTCATACTCAACTCCTGCATAAATACCCAAAAAAAATTCAAGAGTTTGATCTTAGAAAAAGAGAGATACATTTCTGAGTGAAAAATACTAATCTTAACAACTTGATCTACAAAAGTACCTTGGGAAATTTGATATCGAGTCCGAGGACAGAAGAAAGGGTATGCACACCAAAATCAACCTCTTCATAATTAACATGCATTTCCTTTGCATTTTTTTTGGCGATATAAAACATTGAGTTTGTATTTATATCTGCCACAATTATGTCATATACCAATCCTTTATTAATCGTTTCTCCAAATGCAGAATCTTCAGACAATTGCTTTGCATAGTCCCATGGACTCATTTCTCCCTGTAATCAAAATAAATACTCTTAGTAAGATCCACCAAATACATGTAGTTTAAACAAACAAAACAAGAAAAGATAAAATGAATCAAACCCGCAAGAAATCAACAGGACGCAAGTCGGAAGGGCTAAGATTGTTAGAGACCGATGGATCCACAAGAAAAGCAACTTTGCCTTTTGTAGAAATACCAAACCATGTCCCAAAGTTATTGTCAGGCTGACCTCTCAATATCTTCTTATCTTCATCCCAAACCGCCGGTTTTGTTGCCCTTTTTAATCACTCCAACATTAAAAAGTACATCAAAACACTCATCAAAGCACATAATTGAAAACCCTAAAAAGTATGAATGAATTATAAAACTTGCCATGAATCACATTTCTCTCTAATTTGCAGCAGCGTCAGTTGGTTGTTTCCCCATTGAAATGCAACTATCCCCATTTTTCTCTTTTGCTATTTGATTGAATCTCTGTTTTTGATGTTTGTAGTGTTTCTTCTTATCTCTGAGTTGTGACCCTCTCTGTTTTTATAGTCCAAGTTTCTCCTCTGCTTTCTCTTTGCTTACTTTACTTCCTCAACTGCCTCACGCGCTTAAGAAAATATTTTACCAGTTTTGGTCTTTCCTTTTGTGTTTCATGTAATTATCTAACTCTAAAAATAATGAAATATACAAAACACCTCACGCGTCTATACTCCTTGATTAAGTAATAATGAGTCAATATGCATAATGCATGTAAAACACTTAAGAAATATGTGTATTTTCTAAAAATATACAAAAGTGGTTTCTTGTGGCACACAAGTTTAATTCAATCCAATGGTTGTTTGATCTTAGCTTTGGTAATTCCGGTGATTACCAAACTCGTAAAAGTCCGGTGTG